GTGTGTGCTTCGTAATCCTTGTGTGGGATTGTTCCTGGCCTCGACGCGAAGGCTCGCGTCGCTGGGTGGGGTGATTGTCACCCAGCTGCGGGCGAGCTTGCACCCATTTGTTTTGGATCGAGGTTGCTAGCCCGACAAGGCAAGGTTAAAATTGATTTCCTAATCCGATAGAAAACCGGCGGTTGGTAACTCAGCATGAAGAGGTTATACAGCGTATATTCAACCTGGGCAGGTTATGCGCGGGCATAACCTCCCATAACGTGCCCCACCGGCCACCTGTGTCCGTCTCGGAGGGACCTCACCAAGGTTCCTTACCCCCAAAGCCTGTGGAGGTCCGTCTCGGAGAGACCTCACCAAGGTTTTCACCCCCAAAGCCTGTGGAGGTCCGTCTCGGAGGGACCTCACCAAGGTTCCTTACCCCCAAAGCCTGTGGAGGTCCGTCTCGGAGAGACCTCACCAAGGTTTTCACCCCCAAAGCCTGTGGAGGTCCGTCTCGGAGAGACCTCACCAAGGTTTTCACCCCCAAAGCCTGTGGAGGTCCGTCTCGGAGGGACCTCACCAAGGTTTTCACCCCCAAAGCCTGTGGAGGTCCGTCTCGGAGAGACCTCACCAAGGTTTTCACCCCCAAAGCCTGTGGAGGTCCGTCTCGGAGGGACCTCACCAAGGTTCCTTACCCCCAAAGCCTGTGGAGGTCCGTCTCGGAGAGACCTCACCAAGGTTTTCATCCCCAAAGCCTGTGGAGGTCCGTCTCGGAGGGACCTCACCAAGGTTTTTCCCCCAAAGCCTGTGGAGGTCCTACCTCACCAAGGTCGATGTCCCTGCAGGGTGCCCACAGGAACCCTGTAGGGAAATCTGAACCCTGCAGGGTGCCCACAGGGTGTCCACAGGGTTGAAAGCCTGCAGGGTGGCCACAGGGCAGGGCACAATGGCCACGGGTGCAAACTCGTCACCTTTATAGCGAGAGGACCCATGCTTGTTGCACACGTGACAGCGCAGCCCCTTCATTTCGTAGTGTGTGGTGTGGCCGGAAGTGCCAGCTTCCGGAGTGCCAGTCGGGGGTTCCGCTGTTCGATATGTGCGGCGGATTTATATATGTCTATTTCTAGGGGGCCCGTGCGGCGAAACGCGCCGTTCGAACGCAAAACGCGACAAATTGCACCGCTCGATGCAGGGCCTCGCGAACAAGAAGCACGCCACCCTCTCTCTAGAGACTCGTGGTCACACACACACATCTGCTTTGTTACCAAACCTCGGTGTATCGGGTGCAGGGTGTGCAAAGATTTTCGCTACACTACAGCATACAGCAACAAACAGCAGTCTCTCCGCATTTTTGCTGCTCTGAGCGAGGCCTCAACAGACCGCCACGGATCACCCCGCAAGCCAATCACGGTGCGGGCTTGCACGGCCTCTGTCTCTAAGAGGCTTGTGCCCGTTCACACATCTGCTGTCTTCCGAAACCTCGGTGCATCGGGTGCAGGATGTCCAACGAGTTTTGCTGTGCTGCTGTACAACCGCAGTCTCTCCGCATTCTTGCTGCGTGTGCTGAGCTGCGTGCGTGCTTCGATAGACCACCGTGGATCAGACAGCAATGGAGCGCTACATGCACTGGGAGGCAGTACTCTTCTGTTCGCTTAGAAGGCATGAAAGCCAGGTGCTGCTGGACGTACAGCAGTATTTCGGTTATACAAGAACTCCGTATTCTCCACCGCTTCGTGTGGATTTTGACGTTCATCGCCCGAAGATTCCCAGCGAAAAGGAGGGTGAGCGTTCGCATGAAGCCCCTGTACAGGTGTTGGCCCGGAGACACTTTCCCGGTGGACTGTATCAGGAGCTGGGGTGTTGAATGCGGCTTCCATGACAAGAGTAGGTGTGGCTACTGCAACGCTGGCGCCGAGCTGAAAATGAGCGAGGAACAGAATACAGAGCGTACGAACCTAGAACTACTGATTCGAAAGACAAGGTGTGCCAGACTCAGATTCTAGGGTTGTAGCTGGTGGAAGGGTGGATTTGTTTTCTGTATTGAACTCCGACGGGTGAATGAGTCGATTTGTTAGACGCCGTGTGACACCCGACCCCCTGTTTGTGTTCCAGAGCCGAGAGGGAAGGAGATGGCGATGGGGGGAAGTAGGGCAGCAAGAACCGATAGAAGGGGGGAGAATGCGGGCAGAACGTGCGCAGCAAGCACTGACTGGCGCGGAGGCCAAGGCGGAGGCGATGAGGGAGGCGGTCATTGGGCCTGGAAAACAACATGACGGTGAGCTGCATGGCATTTTTATAGGGGTGGCACGTGTCCGTTTCCCTTTTTCCTGCGGCGGTGACGGCGGCGGCGACGGCACTTAGAAGGTTGGCTTCATCGCTCCTGGGGTCGGTGTGCTTTACATGCGTGAAGGTTTGAAGGATGCTATCGATTCAGCAGAACTGCAAAATGAGCAGCAGCTGCTGCTGCCATAGCAAATAACAGCAGAAACCTGAGCGCTGAAGCCAAACGGCAGTATTTCAATGCTAGTGCTAAGTGCACTGGTTATCATCTCGATGGATAGTTAGTGCTCGTTGCACGACACGGCGGCACTTGTGGTACTTCGCCCAAAAAGCAAACAGGAACTGTCTGCAGCGGCGCCTATTCGCAACAGACGCGTTCATCATTCCCTACTCCAGCACCGATAAAAGCTCCCGAGAAGCGCCGAGCAGACAGATAACTGAAATTCCAAAATCATCATCAAGAACACCATCTTCCACCAGTTGCGTAACACACTTCTTCCGTATCCCCCTCGGGAGGTACTCAATCGCGACCGAATCTGTAACATGTACTCCGCACTGTCCTCGCAGCGGCGAATGTCACCTTGTGTTTCAACCACTCGTTTTTTTACCACGCGGTACCGGCGCTGAAACTCGGCTTCTTTCTGCTCTTCTGCACAAATCCTCTGCCTGATGAGCGCGAAGTTTTTAACTCGCCACGTCCATCCCAACAACATGCTGATCGTCGTGTCGTTGAATTGTGACGCTTTGTCCCCGTCACAACGACTCGTGGCATGGCGAATGTCCACAGTGCTGGACGATCCCCGCTCTATGCATTCGTGTACCATCTGCAAAACCTCTGCATTATTGTTCAACCCCACGCACTTGGCCCGCGCACTCACCCACAGGCGCAAAGTGCCCGGGGTGTCGTGAGGTATTTCCGTACCAACAATTGAGTGTCCCAAAAAAAAATGGCAGGCCAGCGTCTGCAAAGAATCCATCTCACAATCTGACTCAAAAGCAACAGCACACACTACTGATCTTATCCGCTAACAACAGCCGTCGACGAACCCTCTTTCTTCTCCGCAACAAAAAGCTGCGCGCGAATCGCCCTGCAACCACATCTAACCGGGGGAAGCGGCTCGATGTCTATGGTGTCCTCCTCGAGCGTGGCCCATGCCTCGTCGATCCGCTCCTGAGTGTGCTTTCCCCACCCTGTGTACTTGTGCTTAATGCCGTTGCATGTGTACTTGACATCCTTTGCCACCCGCTTGGCCTTGGCGTACTCGACCTCGACCGGAAATGGGACTTGGCACGCCCTGAGGTCGCAGAAAGCTTCGTCATGGGCCTGCCGAATTTTGTACCCTGTCGTGATCAACCAAATGTGTTCCTTCGCTTTGAAGAAGGGCCTGAAATCCACGAGGTTCCTGTTCATGGAAGCAGCAAAGTCAGGCGCTTGGTAGAAGTCGTCTCCAATTATGCCGTCGGACGTGAGGTCATTTAGTAGCCTGAGAGCATCTTTCGTCTTCGCCAGCATATCCTTCGAAACACCGTGTGTGCTGCAGCCGATGAGCCAAGCCAACATCTTTGTCGCAGTTTGTGGTTAGAGTGAATGGCGTTTTAGCTGCGAAAGTTTGGTGCAAATATTAATTTAGGTTAGACCACCTCGCCAACGTCTGGTTTGGTGTTTTGGGCTATCGTGTCAAAGATGTGAAATTGAGCGCGCGAATCGAGCGTGATATCATGGTCCTCTAAGGATCGGTACATACAGATAACAGTGTCACAGCGTTTGCGTTTTAGCGAGATCTTTCGTTCTTCAAATTCGAGGGCCTTCCGCCGGAGGTCTTGATCCCCGCCCTTGAGGAACTGTTGCACCATTTCCTTTGCGAGCTCTTGTTGATCTTGGACCCCTCAAAGCTCAAAGCCGGCCGGCATGTTGTCCTTCTCGCCCCCCTGAGCGTGGGCGCGTAGGCTCGCCTCTCGCATAGCGATATGACGCGCCTCAGTATCGGTCACCAGGCTTGCATCCCCGTCGCACAAACGGCACACCGCGTGGCACATCTTCCGGCGAACGTCGTCCGGAATTGCGCCCGGTAGCAACCAGATGATTTCGATCAGAAAATCAACGTTCGCGACTTGCGTATACCCTCCCCTGTTGTCGATTTGAAGTCTCGGACAGTCTTCGTCCGCGTCAGCGGTTGGCCCGAGCAGCTTGTTCAGCTCAGGTTTGGCTTCGTCTTCGCCACAGTCCAATACCATCTTTGCAACATCTACCAGCGATGCCCTTTTGGAGGCATGGTCGACGCGAATAGTAGCATTGTCGAGGCTCGTTGCGGTTGCCATGATGTTGTGTAGGCTCAGCAAACATTATATTTGTTGGTGAATGAACGAGACGGAGCGCTCACACCGTCGGCACGCAGACGATAGGAATCGCTTGCTGAACCAGTCCAGTACCAGCGAGGTGGGGGCGTCCAACGACAGGTCGAATCACACTGTAATACTTTGCACGCAACATAAACCGGCACCGCCACGCACACGGCCGAACCACCGACAGCCGTAGTAAAACGCCACTGGACACCACTGATCCTTTCCGCGAACTCGTCTTTGTCGAGTTCGTAGAAACGCCCCACCGACGCCAATTGCTCTTTACAGTATTTCAACATGTCGATCTCTCCCAGCGCTATACTCGTCCTGACCTTCATCGAAGCATAGGGCCTCTTCTCTTCAACCGAGCGTGTTCGAACCATAATGGCTCGTCATGCTGCTTAGATTGGTAAACGACCTTTGTCCGTTTCCTCGGCAACGCGCTTGCGTACAACCCACTCGTTTTCAATACGAGCCCTGTTATCACCAACAACGGTGCTGGCATCATCGTCGTCCAGATCAAGCGCTGGTTCTTCTACGCCAACCTTTTCGAACGTAACCTTCACCGCGTGCGCATAACACACTGACTTCGCCATCTCGAAGTACTTGTCGGTATCTTTATCTCCGATGTGTGCAAAGAGGTGCAGACGCCTGGCCAGACGAGGGTAGTGTGATTGGTACGCGAGCACCTGCCCGAGCCCATCCTTCCATCGATTGTGGTACTTCACCTCGATCACGGCATCGCTGGGCTTATCAATGAAACCCGAGGGTGTTTCCACCTCACGTTCTCCTCCGATGAGAGAAGCAAGAGCTTCTCTCGCGGAACTTTCCTTCACCCTAGTTGACTCCCCGTCTTCCCTGTACTCCACCGGCTGAAGCAGAGCTTGTCGAATGGCTTCTCCTCCTTCGACAGACCCCCGCACAAGGTTGTTCTGCTCGATCTGGCGACAAAGACCGAGATCGCCTCTCATTGCACGCAACACTGCCTCCACAGATTCACGACGGAGCGCTCTCGAGGCAACACTTGGCAACATCCACGAAACCTTCACCAGGGTGTCAAAGTCAGCAACCGGTGTAGTGCGCCCACAGCCGTTGATTTCGATGTCCTTGATATAGGACTCAATCGATGTCACACGATCATCCTTTTCAAGGATGCAGGTAAACATTTGCGCAGCATATTCACCAGAGGCCTCGGGACACAACAGCCGAATCACATCAATAATGCGAGCTTCGCCCAAAAGTTCGTCGATCTTGACAGCACCATTGATCTTGATGGACCGGAGAGCTTTCTGCAGGACAGAAGCTTTCGTTTCAGCCTGCTCGACTGCATGCCTTCTTCCACCTGCTGTTCCCTCGGCTGGGGTTGCTGCGTTTGGCCAGAGGGGTGAGCCCTTTCCACAACCCGAGCATGGCAACAGACATCAGTCTTCCATAGATGAGGCGTGTGGACATTTTTGGGCCATCACAGCCCTCGAGGATGCGGTACACTGCTTTCAGAACACTCGAGTTGTGTAGGTTCGGCATGATGTATTTGATCATGCTTTTCACCACAATGTCCCCCGTCGAAGCGTCGATCGTGATGGTGTTCATGGTATTCTTTTTTATTGTTCACAAGGCAGATTTTCATCTTGTGCTGTTGAACGCGGGCCGGTTGGTTGTGAGCATCGTGTGCACGTTTTCCAACTCTCAAGTTAAGCGTAGACTAGCCACCCGGCGGCGATGCGGTGGTCTTGAGAAAAAGTGGAGGAATGGTTACAGTTTACATCGCAACATCACCCCAGCCCGCCACTGCCGTCCGACCACACAACAATGCCTATCAACCGTCGATGCGAGGGAACGCGCGACGCTGAATCTCAGTAATGATATCAGCAAGCCCAACCCTCTCCCTGGTTTCGTACAACCCAACTTTTTCGTACGCCTCCTTCAACGTCATGGCGATGTCCAATTCGGCCATGACGCGTTGTTTAGCGAGTTCGAGATCGTGTTTCCTCGCGAGCATTGCCAACTCGTGTTGCACCACCATGTTCAAGTACGCGTCGCGGTCGCTGTCGGTGGCGTGATCGAAGATAGGAGGACCAATGCGAGCCCTCTTCGCCTGGCGCTGTCGGGTGATCGATCGGGTGTCCATGGTGGTATTGTGTGCATGGAAACACATGTCCCTACTCGCAAGTTTGGCGTAAACATTGCTCTCATGACGCGCCATCGCCCGCCCCTGTTTCAATGGCGCATGTACCCCAAACCCTTCGCGATCAAAGGTCCCGGGCGGCGAGAGAGATCAGCCACCGAGATACGATCGACGACGCCACCTTTCAGGCTTGTCTCGGGAATTTGACCACCTTTGTAACAAGGCGAGGGAAAAAGGGCCCATCAGGCTCAGAGCCGGAGAGAGAAAGTATGGTTGGAAATATGCGTAAGGGGTAATTTTCTTTTTTATTTCCTATACCACAATCCACAAGTCAAACACCGTGTAATGCCCGACCCCTTGTTTGTTTTCCAGACTGCGCGGGAAGGGAGGGAGCGATGCAAGGAGGAAGCTAATGAAAAAGCGATAGAAGCTGCGCCACGTTTGCGATCGATCGAGGCCAGAAGGAAAACCTCCAGGTGAGACCAGTTGACACCAGATGCGCCCCCCTCCTATTTTCCACGGCAAGCCCCCGCAGGCGCAGTGCTGGGCCGACAAATTACTGAGTTTTTTTGGCCAGCCGGAGCGCACCAAAGTAGCATGAACTTGACGATCGGCAACGCCTGTACCGCGCCCCCCAGACTGTTTCACCGGCAACCAGACCTCCGAAATGCGCCATCGCTAGCCAACCGTTGCTGTACCACCCTCTGTTTCGGCGGCGCTCAATGGTCCCAATTGGCTGTACTTAACAATTTAGCCTTACTCGCTGGAATTTGAACAGGCGCTGGAAGCTACGCCCGCCGTCGCCCAGATCGTCACCGTCGAGGAGAAGACGGACGGCTGCGACCATTGTATACAGACGTACCTCGCTGTAGTGTTGTTCAGCGCGAATTGGTAGTCAAGAAGGCCTTTGGTTCTTAGAACCGCATCTCCGGGGGGAAAGAGGGTGTACAACCAAGGGCGGTGGCCAGGAGGTCGCGGGAGCGCGACAAGCTTGACGCTGGAAGCGATTTGGTTTTGGTCGAGACTCTAGGCAGTTTGTTTTGGCGATAGCTCTCCCCATCACCGTTTGGTGGCGTAGTTGGGTGTTCGGGGACCCGTACTGTAACGCGACAATTCGTTTGGGGCGTTGTTGGTGTCTTCACCCTAAAAATGGTCCCGATCTCTGCTCAATACTCTCTTCATCTGGACTGATCCAACCGACCGGAGACACCCTCCGTGTGTTGTTCGAAAATCAAACAAAAGCGAAAATGAGAAAACCCAGACAAAAGGCACGAAATATATCTAGATCAGCAAAAATCGCAGACAAACGGGAACCTGGCACCCTCCCTGTTTCTGCAGCGATGAGACCCCCCGAAACGCACCATCCAGACAACCATCTGTGACGACGGGTGCCCCTGAATGCACAGAAACTACATATTATCCCGAAGAGCGCAACAACTGTGCTCCAACCCGGCAGACTACTGAATGCGGGAAGATGGCATAACGCGTGATGATGCAGGCGCTGTGTTTGTCGGCCGTACTCCGCGTACTTATCGGGTATTGTTTGTGTAGTGTATTAACTTCAGACGATGAGGCAACGCCCGTACCCAGGGCGCTGTCGTGCTCAGAAAGGAGGAGTGGCAGCAGGGCTGCTGCACACAACAAAAGGGGGCCCCGGTGCATCATCACCGTACCCCTACCTAAAAGGTTCTACACCATCTGCGTCACACTTGTACGTACGGCTAACATATCCAAACCATGTCCGTAGACCCACGAACACCCTCCCTGGTTCTTCACGCAAGTGACTAACCATCAGTGGGGCAAAAACACCCCGGATACATCAATAAAATGCCAATACGGTGGTCGAGGGGAAACCCGGCGCCCGGGCAAAACCCCTCGAAAATAAATCCCATCCAACACAAACCATTGCTATCACGGCGGATCACAACGGCCGCACTTATCAGGAAGGCCAAGGCGAAGACAAGAATGCGAGGCAAGCCTCCTACTCCTGCCATTGGGACACAGCCCGCGACAGTAATGCATCTTTCCCCGCATGGTATACATGACCTTCCCCAAGCGCTAGAAAATCCTACAGAAGCTCCGGCAAATTCATCAGCTTTTTCCGGTGGTACTGCAGGTTGCTCTTGCTAAGAGCCTTGGTGAGCATGTCTGCATGTTGCTCCGACGTCGACACAAACTTGATCGAGATGTCACCCGACCTAAACAATCCACGAATGAAGTGGTACCGCACGTCGATGTGCTTGCTACGCGCTGAGCTAAGGGGGTTCTGCACCAAAGCCATGGCCCCCTGATTGTCCTCAAGGACCTGAATGCTACCGCCGCTGGTCTCTGGGGCAATAAACGAAAGCACTGCACGCACAAACAAAGCTTCTTTCACACCCTCTCCGGCAGCAATGTACTCTGCCTCCGTAGACGACAAAGATACGATAGCTTGCGTCTTGCTACCGTGGCTGATGACGGTTCCTCCAACCGTTGTTGCCAGCCCTGACACCGAACGTCTATCCTCAGCGTCGGCGTAGCTAGCGTCCACGTACACCGCCAGCCCCAGCCCCGATCCCCGTTTGTAGGTGATCCCGAGGTCCCTCGTCTCTTTGAGGTAGGCGAGGATCTTCCGTATCGCCTTCCAGTGCCTCTCGGCAGGGGCGTGGGCGTGGCGCGCTACCGCACGCACAGCGAACGAGATGTCCGGGCGCGAGAACGTCGACACCCACATCATGCTGCCGATGGCCTCCCTCACCGGCCACTCCCCTCCACTTTCGTCATCTCGCTTCGGTCCTATGGGGGATTCTGTACTCAGCTCGGTCGACGCCAGGGCCCTCACGAAGGCGTCTGGAGAGTTGAGCACGAGGTCCTCCGCTCCCAGCAGGAAGTCCTCTGCCTCTTGGCGCGCGATGTTGGCCTCCTCCGCGCGCTCGCACAGCAGCGCTTGCACCGCCCTCGCCTCTAGCCCTTCCACCACGTCGACCACACACGCGAGCATCCAGTGGGTGTACTCCTCCGTGCTGGTGATGGGCAGGGTGGGCAGCCCGGCCGCCGATGCATGGCGGGCGAGCAGACCTTCGGCACTCGTTGACGACTCGTACCTCGTGTTCCGGCGAGGGTTCTCCCTGAGTAGGCGGCTGGTGAGTTCGGCCGGCTCGCCAAAGCGGGCGAGCCTCCGTTCCTCGGGCCCGCGGAGCGCCGGAATATCCGTGTCGCTGCCGCTGTCGCTGCCGCCACCGCTGCTGCTGCTGCTGCTGCTGCTGCTGCTGCTGCCGCTGCTGCTGCTGCTGCCGCCGCCACCGCGGCTGCTGCTGCTGCTGCTGCTGCTGCTGCGGCGGTCGTCCTCGCCGCCGCCCACATCGGCCCTCCCGGTCGACGTGGTAGATGGGGCGACGCTCGCGCCCTCCCTGCTCGAGGGGGCGCCATCGCCAGCGTCGCCCGCGCCCGACTCCTGGGGCGCGGCCGGCGGCGCCGCCGGCGCATCGCGCGCGGGCGGCTCCGCGGGCCCCGGGTTTGCCGTCGTGTCAAGGTGGAAACCTCCATCCTCAGGTTCTCCCTCCGCCCTCCCTCCACCGTGGCATGACGCACCCCCTCCGCCCTCGTGCTCCCCAGTCGTGAGCTCCTCGTCCTCCTCTGCAATGGGAGGCAGCGGCTGGGGGTGCGCGGTCGGGGCGGCGGGCACAGATTGCCAGGTGAAGTTGCGAGTGGTGATCGCTTGGCGTTTTTCGTTCAGGATGCGTACGCAATCACGGTTTGTGTTGATTCCAGGGCCGAGGTAAAAACACTTTTTTGCTTTCGGCTCTGACTTGTGCGTGCGCTTGACCTTGTATACGGCGGGTTTGAGGAACGGGTACGTCGCCTCTG